TCTCCATCGACATCCCAGCAAACTTATGACGTCAACGTCGTTCCTGAAATTATAGTGGACGATGGCTATCATGAAAATGATCTGGGTCGTTATGTTGGGTTGGCTACTCAGCTATCGACGGAAAAGTAAAGGGAGTTGTTACAACATCCTTGGATCTCGCCCAGAAATTCTGATTTTGAAAGTGATGCAAGCCATTTGAAAAGGAAATTTAATAATGCTTGGTTGGATCAATATGCACCATGGCTAGTATATTCCAAGCGACTAAAAGGCGCTCTTTGTAAGCATTGTGTTTTGTTCCCTCCGCCCATCAGCACTGTGAGAGGAATTTTGGGATCATTTATGGTCAGGCCATATATAAAGTTCAAAAATATGCATGAAGACTGCCAAAAGCATGCAACGACCAACCTTCACCTAACAGCGACAAATGCTGCAAAAAAAATTCTTGAAAATGTTCCTATAGACATCCAACTGCAAAGTGGACACCAAAAAGCAATCGATGAAAACAGACAAATATTGTCATCAATTATTTCTTGTGTAGTATTTTGCGGTACACATGATATGCCTCTTAGGGGAAAACAAGCAGATGAGGGCGTTTTATTAGATTTATTAAAGTTGACAATCAATTCAGGGGACGACAAATTAAAGAGTCACCTGGAAAAGTGCCGTCGCAATGCAGTTTACACATCGCCAAAAATACAAAACGAATTGATTAATTTATGTGGCGAAGTTATTAAGGAGAATATAATAAGTGAGGTTCAGAAGACCATGGCTTACGCAGTCTTAGCTGATGAAATAGCAGACGTAGCTGGGAAAGAACAGCTATCAATAGGCGTGTGGTTCTACGACAAAAGTAAAAGGAAAATCAGAGAAGAATTTGCAGGATTCGTTGCACTAAAAGCACAAAATGCTTCAGCAATTGCCGAAGCAATTGACAATTTCTTGATTAGTTCTAACCTCCCAACAGAAGATTGCGTAGGGTTTGGATTCGATGGCTGTTCTACAATGGCAGGGAAAGAGGGAGGCGTACAAGCCATTTTGAGAAAAAAAAATCCTCGTGCTTTATATTTTCATTGCTCAAGTCACAAACTCAACCTTGTTGTGAATGATGCGAACTCAGTGCCAGAAATTAGAAATACTGTCGCCACTGTTAAGGATGTTATAACGTTTTTCAGAGAATCGACTACTCGTCGAAACTACGCTCCAAACCTATCACGATTGTGTGAGACGAGATGGTCCGAAAAATATAAATCAATCAGAAAGTTTTCTCAACATTTTCCAGAGCTTGTGAAATCTCTAGAAACGTTATTCGTAGAGGGAAATTATGCCACCAGAAAATCTGCATATCAGTTGCATTCAGCCGTTACAAAACCAGTGTTTATTGTTGCTCTACAAACAATAGCCAAATATTCAGCAGTTTTAGAACCAGTAGTTAACGCACTGCAAGCTAAATCGATCGTCATGATCTCGGTGGGGGAACACATCAAAAATATCAAGGACATTCTCAGAAATGACCGCGAGTTTCCTGATAAAATAAGTAATGAAATGCTTCAAAAAGCGCGAGCTGTTGCAATGGATTTGAACATAGAACTTTCGGTTCCATGTCATGCTCATAAGCAAAACACATAGAAGTAATCCGCCATCTGACAATGATAACGAATATTGACGGCGTTCTCTGATAATACCATACATTGATTCACTCATTTCATCATTGAATATTCGATTCTCCCAAGAAAATACTCCGGCGTTTGCTTTAAGTAAGCTACATCCCTTGTATATGACCAAAACCAGCATTACAGACTTACACAAGAACGCAGAATCATTCCAAGAATTTTATAACCTGGATATCACTGGAGATCTGAACCTTTGGCATAATTTATGGATGAAGAATGCTTTATCAGATGATCAATTAGGGGATATAGAAGTAGTTGATCTGTTCAACGACGCCAATATTTTTTACCCTGCTGTCAGAAAGGCATTGATTATTTTAAGCGCTATCCCATGCACCACGGCGACCGTAGAACGGTCCTTCGGTACGCTTCGAAGAGTTAAAACGTGGCTTAGAAGCACCATGGGTGAAGAAAGGCTTACGGGTTTATGTCTGATGAGCGTACATCGCAATTATTTAAAAGAAAACAGTGAGTTTATTAGAATAGAATAGAATAGAATAGAATAATTCTTTATTGCAAAACTGTTACATTTAGTATTACTGCTAGATGTTAGTGCACATAATTGAAATAGACAGTTACCCTAATCGGGCATGCAATAGTCATTTTTATAAAACATTATTATTAAAATATTCATTAAGATTATAAAATGCATTATATAATAGCCATTGCTTCAGGGACCTTACAAACTTAGATTCCGGAAGTGACCGCAGATAAGGCGGTAAATTGTTGTATATTCGTATGGCAGACATATAAGTACTTTTTTCAAAAATTGCTGAATTTGACCGAGGTAAATGTAATTTGTCTTCACGTCTCATCGGGGTTATTCTAGCTCTCTTGTCAGAGATTTTTGGGAATTCAGACATATGACATCTTAAAAATTTACACATTTCTAATATATAAATACAGGTCAATGTTAAAATTTGTTTTTCTTTAAAAATATTACGCATTGATTCGTCACTATATTTATTAAAAATTATTCTTAAACACCTTTTTTGTAATAGGAATGTACTTTCAACATTAACAGAATTGCCCCAAAATATGATACCATAGCTTAATATGGAATATATATTACCATAATAAGCATTTAATGCTACTTCAGTGGATGATATATCGGTCAACACTGACAGGGCGTAACAATAGCTACTTATTTTGTCATTAATTTTCTCTATTTGATGTTTCCAATTCAGGTGAGTATCTATGGTAATACCAAGGAAATTAGCATATTCTACTTCTTTTATTTTGGTGCCATTTACCGCAATTTTAAGGTCCAAAGGTTCTTTTTTATAATTTCTAAGTTGTAGAATGTTAGTTTTTATTAAATTAACTGTTAAATTGATTGATTTAAGCCAAGTTGTCAGATTTTGTAATGTCAGAGATATATTAAGTTCAAAGTCATTCTTACACATATCGTCATTCTTAACAAATAAAATAGTCGCGTCATCAGCATACATTGTACATTGATCTTTAATAATATTTGGTAGCTCATTGATGTAGACAAGGAAAAATAATGACCCTAGAATGCTGCCCTGCGGCACACCTATTGGAATTATTTGATATTCTGATTTGGTTTCCTGCAAAGTTTTTGTTTTTCTATCCAAATATGTCAAATTTACTGTTTGCATTCTTTTAAAAAGATATGACTCTATTAGTTTTAACGCGCAACCTCGAATTCCAATATGCTCAAGTTTTTTAAGCAGAATAGAATGAACAACGCAATCAAAAGCACGTGACATATCAATGAACAAGGCTGCACAGTATTTTTTTTCATCTATTGATTTCCACACATGTTTTAAAAAACTATAGACCGCCGAGGATGTTGACAAATCCTTTCTAAATCCAAATTGGCTATTACTTAGTATATTATTCTTCTCAATAAATTCCATTAATCTCGTGTATAAAACATTTTCAAATATTTTTGAAAACGCTGGAAGTAGAGCAATTGGTCTGTAATTGCTTGCCAAGTCGCGAGGTCCTTTTTTATGTATTGGTTTTATAATAGCAATTTTTAAACTGTCAGGGAAACAGCATTTTTCTATCATCATATTTATTAAATAAACCAGATGGCAAGCAATTATATCGATACATGATTTTATTATTTGAATGGATATCCCGTCATATCCACAACTTTTTTTATTTTTAAGCTTTTTAGTGCAGTCTTTTATTTCATTTAAAGTTGTGGGTTTTAGAAATATGCTATTAGTCAAAGAGGTGTTACGGGGAATGTATTGGTTATGGGTTGTATTATTTGCGTTTAATTTGACATAGTAATCATTTAAATAGTTGGCTATGTTTTGCGGTTGAGTTAAAATTATATCGTTATTTTTTAATGTTTTTATTGATTCTTTTAATTTAGTTTTTTGTGTTGTATGTAATTTTATTAGACCCCATGTGGCTTTTGCTTTATTAGTACTTTTCCTAATATATTTCAAATTACTCTGCCTTTTAGAATAAGCAATCACGTGTTTTAATTTCGTTTTATATTTTTTATATGTATATATATTGCTTAGATTTCTTCGTTTTAATATTGCTTTATGTAGCTCTCGCTTTCTCCTACATGATATTTTTATACCCTTACTAAACCAATTTGGTTTGACTCTATGGGTCATTTTATACCGTTGTATAGGAAAACAAATATCAAAAATCATTTTAAATATTTCTATAAATTTATCATAAGCCGAATTTACATCATTTTGTTCATATACTTCCGCAAAACTGACCTGTGAGATATATTTTTTGAAGATGTCTAGGTTGATGTCAATTATTCTTTTATTCTCATACCAGTATCTACATTCATGTTTTCGAGTGTAAGGAAACGACATCATTTGACCAGTGTGGTCTGATAATCCATTATTTAATACCTTTGTATTATTCAAAAGACTGTCTTAAACAAATTTTCGGCGGCAAATCCAAGAAGATTACTTTTAAATTAATATATGTGTATTATGATTATTATATATATTTAATATTTTGTTTTGTGTCAGAATCAAACTAATTATTAAAAGTCAATTTTCATGATTTTTTGTTTCAATATACCCGACCGACCATCTTCTCGAAACAGGTATGAGCTGCCCCCTCCTAGCTGAAATCCTGGGTACGCCCTTGTGACTGTACACGTGAAGCTAGAAGTATGCTATTAATGTACTCAGTTAAGGAATCGGATACTTTAATTATTCGAAACCTGTGTTCGAGTATTGTAGATCTGAATTCAGTATTTTATATACTCAAGAACGAGAGTACCTGCTAGGTATTCGAGCCAGTATTCAAGTCAGTCTGACTCGGCACGTCACTATTGACGCTGTCAAACTGACAAATGACATTGACAACTCTGTCATTCGATTTCTGCTGCCTGCCCGCTGCCTAAAATAACAAAAAAATACTCGCAGCTTTTGTCATAAATATTCTTTACTAATTTAAAACCACGTCATGGCGTCATTAGATCTTTTAACTCCTCATTTATCGAAGATAAAAATACCAAATGCGCAGCAGCTAATTTACAAAGATGAATGCGTGTATTCTTTCGACAACCCGGTGAGTTGCATCTTTTTTCTAACCTCTTTGTTTTATAGAAATGTTTTAATATTAAACTGATCTTGTCAAATTACCTGACTAATTATATTATGTACTGCGTACGCACATTCACTTCATATATGGATAGAATGTCAGGAGCGACAGCTTATGACAATAAAATATATACTTTGCTATATGCATCAGTCATGGAGTGGCTATTATAAACTTCAACAAACTTCAAATTTGCTAAAGAAACATGGAAAGGAGTATCTTGGGATACAGGAGAAAAGACATAAAGAGAGCTACTGAAGTGAGAAATGTCTCAAATAGGCACAAAAATAAATCAGTTTAAGTGGCAGGACACATCTTTAGAGATACAGGAATGAAATGGACACAACAAACAATAGAATGGACCCCCTGATACAACAGAAATAGAAATAGGATGTCTGATGACAGTAAGAAAACAGTAGAAGCAACCTTGTCAAGATTGGCAAGGAGTCACACTTTAATTTTTTACGTAAATTGCAATTAGTTAGCCCTAAGATTGATAGGTGGCCAGCCCATCAACTTCAACAGTTCTCAAAGTACCTGTCCATTCAACTCAAAATCATTACAGCAATGACAGCTTAAAGTAGTCTACTAGAACAAGAAATGCTTAGGCATCAGTTTGCAAGTCTATGGTGGGAGACCTTGAACTAATAAGAGACAACAAGAAACTTGCTGCCATGCCTTAATAGGCATTTACTATCTAGTATTGAAAAGTTTTACAGCTGCTGCATTCAAGATATGTTCTCTCTCAGACCCACAGAAAATTATTGTGATAAATATTAAAACATTCCTGTTCATTCTGGCATGATTCTCTAAACTTAAAACTAAATTTAAGATCAGTCTTTCTTTTTCATTCTGTATAGAGTATGAAAAGGATACACTGTCATTAAATAATTTTAGGGTTAGAGAATCATGCCAGAATTGGTCAATCTCAATCACGTAAATACTACTGAACGGATTTTTGATACCAGTATATTTTTGTTTAACAAACTATTATATTTTCACTTGTTTTAATATTTCATTTATATGACTAAGATTATACTTAGTAATAAAATAAAACTGCAAAGCAACATGTTTCTAAACTGAAGACTTTATTTTGTAGTGAAACCATTTAAACTGGAAACACAGTGTTGTCCTTGAAGTATTTTGTATTCATAAAATTCTTAATCGCCTGATATACGTTAGCTGCTACATTGAGGAAAGATGTCTTCATTCCAAACATGGAATAGGAACAAAACAACAATGATATAAATGTATCCAACATCACTGGTGTCCAGAATAAAATATTGTATAGCAGTTCCCTACTTATATAGGTCTTAACATTGTGTTCATTCACTTTCATGTTATGAATTTTGGTCAATATGATTGTTGATATAGTGATTGGCACGAAATAACTGACAATTGCAAATACAAACATATACATAATGAGACTGTTATTTTCTACATAGCAAATCATCATGCATGGTAATGTAAACTTTGGTTGCCTCAACAGCATCTGTGTTGCCTCAAATGGATAACTAGCATTTTGCACATCATTTATTATTTTGTACAGATTACTTACTACAGAACTGATTTCTGCTGATTTATTTTTGCTGAAGTTATTTTCATTGATTTCCAAATAAGCACTTGGTGGTTTGAAATAATTTTTCAAATCCAGGAAACTGTTTGTTAAATTGTTATGATGACTTACACAAGTCCTGTTATGAGAACTAATCAATGCCATGCAGTTGTCACTTGCTACTTCAATATTTTTTAAACTCTTTTCATTAACACTTATAGGCAACATAAATAAGCTTAAAATCAAAGGCATAATCCACTGAAGTCCAATCATTACATATGAAAAATGTTTCTTCCAAAATAAAAAACACCATTTTGTTTGGAATACAGTATCTCTAGGAGTATCATCTGTGATCTCTTGCACTGTGTTTTCTTCATGTTTGTTCTTTGCTTCATTCAACATTTCATAGTGTAAGTAGTTATCAATAACTAAGCTCACGAAACTATTCACAAAAGATATAATCAATGGACTGTAACTCAGTATCACAGACCAAATTGTGCATTCTGTATTATTATTTTCACGATTCATTGATACTATGTTTATTGTCCTTCCTTGCATATCTTGCATATGCATGTTAACAATATTTAACTCGTACACAGAGCGTATTAAAAATGCCAGTCCAACACACAATAATAGAATATTTTCTGAAAGTAACACTGATGAAAACTTATTGTGCTTCAAGACTCTTCTCAAATTAAGTAAACTCAATGAAAATCCACATAAGATGAGAAAGGCCCCAAGGTATATGTCCACAGAGTTAAACATTTTGTTGCTTCCTAAATGCTGGTTATTGTAAAAGTGGAAAATGGGTACCCCTATGATTTTGCAGTTTTGTGTACGTATGTCTTATCTTTATGCAAATTATGAGGGCCCTCTAAACATGGCTTTGTCATTGTGAATTCTATTTACTGTTAACTATTGATTATGTTTTGTGAAAGTTTACACTTTTATTTTTAATAAGTTATAACTCATTAAGATGTAAAATGGTTATTATTGAAAATTTTATTTTTTCATTGCTTTACAAATTTATTTTGTAGGCATCATAATTTATAATTTGTGACATCAATTGTTCAGAATGATTAGCATAAATGAGTTTAACAGAAAAGTCACAAAACATTAAATCTATAACTAAAGTTGATTGTGTATTGTTACAGGAATCCGAGACTGGACTGTATGTGTCACTGGTCTCCTTCCTTGGTTTTGGACGCAATTATGTTGAACAATATTTTCAGAAGACAGGCAATGCTGTCTTTCTCCACATTTATAGAGAGAAGAAACCAGTGAGATGATTAAGTTTTATTGATAGAATACCATTTTACTTTTTTAATTAACCCTACAAAGTATCCACACTGCATAGTTCTTGCTTTGACAAAGATAATCTTGGCCAACTATATTATATCCTAAAGATAATATTACTAGAAAAAAATCCACCGAACCAGGCAGCAGATGATACTCGAACACGCACCCTTCGCTCTCTGCGCGAATGCACTGAACATTATGCTACCGCGGCCTTGACGGCCGAGTCGAATTCTTTCTAGCCTTTCTTAAGCTGCAAGGCAGCGCCATCTCTTCGCATTGTAGGTAACCCACAATGGCAAATAAATACCTTTTTTCTAGTACCTACACGCTTAAAAAAAACAACTATTATATCCTACTAATATTAAAAATATGTAAGTTTTAGAAGATTGAATGTTTGTATGTTTGTTCCTCAATCACGTAAATACTACTGAACATTTGCATGAAATATTGTATGCATATATGTAGTTAATGACCTGGATTAAAACAGGATACTTTTTATCCCAGAAAAATATAGGGTTCAAAAAACATAAGTTAAGGCGGATGAAGTCGCGCGCGGACACTAGTTTTAAATATAATGGAGTAAAAAGTTCACTTGTCTCATAAACTTTGCATTACTCTCTAATCACTATGTTTTATATTAAATCATTTAGGTACCAGAACCGGAGAAAACTGGAGATGGTCCCGAAAAGAAGATCACGCGTCTCGCAATAGGAGTTGAAGGCGGTTTTGATCCTGACAGCGGCCGGCAGAAGTTCACGTATACAGATCACTATGCTGTGATCGTATTGCCCGGCTTTCACACCTACCCCTGGCCTAACCCAGCTCTACCAGATGTGGTAAGTTACTTGAGTCACTGAATAAAAATGATTAGTACCCATGACATTATGGAATTCGAATAGTTGAATTCGATCTTATACGTCAAATGTGTACTGATTTATAGTTCTCGTTGCGGCCGTTGTGGCACTGCTGTTCAAGTTTCCATACAAAATTTTACAATGACATTTCCCACTCGCGAATATAACGAATTCGTTATAGGTTCATGCTAAGTGTACTGGTCTGAGGCCGTATGAATTGTTGAATGTTAGGTTAGGTTAGGTTACTAAATATTATATCCACACATAAGTGCAGCATCCCACTACAAGGGCTGTTTTTGCCTTTCATTAAGAAGCCTCTTTCCTGGAAAGAGAAACTTCTGTTTCTCTTTTTCGCCAGCTTTTTCCGTTGTCGCGCTGCTATAAAAGCCTTATAAACAGGCAGGCAATGGGTTGGCAATATTTCCATTATTCTTAAATAACCCTTGATGCTTTAACACTCCATCTCTTTTAAGGAGATATAGTTATATTTTTTAAATGTTTGTAAATTCTTAACAACAGATAAGCTAATTCTTCTGTGAAATTTTATGTTTTTGTCTTTATGTTAGGTTCAGAAGTCGGTTCAAGCTGTGATTGACGCAGAATCGCCATTCAAAATTGCTGAGATGGAAGCATTAGCTGGCACTTGGGATGGGGAGGTTCGGGAAGTGTCTGTGTATGTTCACTTTTATTTTTTACTAGTTACAATACTCTATATCGTTCTAGTTCGGCTTTGGAAAGTATTTTAAAACTAAAGTCAGGCCCCAGTCACTCGCGCGGAGCAGCGTTTAAATGCCTACCGCTAAATATAAAGAGTAGTTAGGTCCGAGCGGTAGCGGGAACACACCGAAACTTACGTATTTATATAATAAATAATTACTTAAGAATGGGCAAAACTCACAAGAACTTATAATGATATTACTAAAGCAAATATACATCTTGAAAATGTTATTTTAAAATAGGATTGGTTACTTATAATTCAGCTTGTATTTTTGTTAGTATTTAAAAGTAAATGTCCTTCCAAGAAGTATTTACGCCAAAGTGCTAGGTTCATTTTTCTTTTTTGCTTACTTGGAAAGGCAGAAGCAGATGTTTGAGGCAGACAATACCACTGTACTGTTTTATTGTTCCATGCCGATTTATATCCCATAGTAGGTCTCAGAAAGATATTATAACAGTTATTGTGGTACTTAGCTTCAGCAGCAACTAAGTCATACTCATTATGTCAAATTTGAATTTTCTAATATTAAAACAGCGATATCTCACGAATGGTGAGTCGTGAGAGATAAAGTGACTGGACCATTTTTGTAGACAATTGTATAATCTACAACTTTGTCTGACCTATTTTCATACCATAAAACTTACCGTTTTCGAGAAAAAAAAACCTTAATTTTGTATGTTTGACCTTGAATTTTTTTTTGCAGAAGTAGGATTATGATAGTACTGCGAGTTTACCGGTATGTTAAAATTTACCCTGTATAAATTTAAATAGACGTGTTTAATTGCAGACATGCAGTTAATCTGAAGCAGTTGGACAATGGCGTAAAAGTGCCGCCTTCTGGTTGGAAGTGCGCCAAATGCGACCTCACTAACAACTTGTGGTTAAATCTCACGGACGGCACCATACTTTGCGGCAGACGATTCTTTGATGGTTCCGGAGGGAATGACCATGCGGTAAGATCTATTTCGTTATATATAACGACAATTGCTATTTCTTCCTACAAATTTTTAATACTTGTAAGGCATTCATTTGACATTGTGGGTTAGCTGCAATACGAAGATATGGCGCTGCGTTCCAGCCCAAGAAATACTAGAAGATATTCGACACGGCCATAAAGGCCGCGGTAGCATAATTGGTCAATGCATCCGCCTGGATAGCGGAGGGTGCGGGTTAGAGTACCGTCTGGTGCCTGGCCACGTGGAATTTTCTAGTAAAATTTTCTTTAGATAAGAACTCTGTAGCTAAAGAATGTATTTAAAAACAATATTTTTTTTAAAGTACCTATGTATTGTATTACTTTGAAATTGAACTGGTGTAACCGCATTGCGCGTTATAAGAGGCAGTTTTAGCCTCTTCTGTTTATTTATAAATAGGTACCTAGTTGCCAGATGTTAAGTGAAAGTGCAAGCCATCGCGTAAATAGCTGATGCGGCTTGAAAGGTGCCATCTTCAGTCATCCTGAATTTTGCGGTTTTGCCCAATAAATACCCCGTAAAGCCCTGGAACTAGACGATTCGGCATCGTAAACATTACGATACGATATAACCGATTCATTCTTTGCCAATATTTTAACAGTAGTTAATACAGTTTCTAGTGCAACGAAACGCATAACGCGTCAATGACCACACCCAGCCTTTTGTTTGTTTACGTCAAAGAAATGAGTCACCAAAGGAGATTGCTCAAATTGGCCCAAATGCACAAAAAATATTGACATACACGGTAATTCTTGGCGTAATTTATAATTTAATTTACAGTCATTAGATTTCAACGGACACCTTTGTATAATATATTTACTTTAAAAAGGACTTAATTTTACCGGTTTGGAAAACATAAAAATCATTTTTAATGGCTATGGTTTTTTTTATTAAAGATGTTAGGCGACATCATAAAGTCTATTTGCCATACATTTTTCGCCAAACACATTATAATCTGTATATATGTTAGACTTTAAGGTATCTATATATAGGCCTACGTTCCCTGACTATTTATTAATAAATAAATAAAATTATAAGGTGTGATACACTAATAATCTAAAGTATGGTTATCTTAAAAACATAACAAAAATAATGAAGCTACTGAATATATGGCTATAGAACCTAAATCTCTTAGCTTTGTTTGGTTAACGAGACTTAAAAAATTCTCTAATCTGCGGCTCACTCACAATCATCACACAGTTTCTGTCACAGAGTACCTTATTATAACCGAAAATGACACCTGATTTTAAAAGTTACTCTTATGCATTAACTTTAAAAACAGGCAACTATCTGTTAATCTACATGCTCTATATACCTGAATCTAATCTATAATTTCGGTACTTGGCTTGATTTCCCTAGTTTACTATATAACTTATTTGTTTTTTATTATTTTAATATGTTCAGAGTATATGGTTTATAGAAGTTCTCAGGGGTGTCCGTCAATAATATTCGTTTCTACAGTAATTTATATATAATTTCGAATCTAGGAAACAATTTTTCATGATTATTGGTCTTTAGGCCAAACATGTATGGAAGTTGAGCAATCTCCTTTCTTTATTTGTATAGTGGAGAAAAAATTATGGTCACAACTGAATTAATTAAATGTTTAACTTTTCCACATAACAGGTGGAGCACTATCGCAACACAGGCTACCCTCTAGCGGTGAAACTGGGTACTATTACGTCAGACGGCAAAGGCGATGTCTACTCGTACGCGGAGGACGATATGGTGGAGGATCCGTTCTTAGCGGACCACCTAAAGCATTTCGGAATTAATGTTCAGCAGCTACAGAAGGTACTGTATTATTTTCTATTATAGTAACGACATGTTCCGCCTTGGTAAAGATCGTCGATTTCGATATTGGTTCGTGCTAAGGGTACTGATGTAAAATTATAAGTTAATAGAATCATACCAGAATCGACACTAATCTTTATTTTTACCAATTTTTGCGCCAGACTCAGTCGTTCTCCAGCTGTGAGTGATAATTTCATACGAAGCAGAATGAAAATACGCATGAAGAATTTCTGTTAATTATTGCATATATGGTCTTGTCAGCGCGAAATATATCGCGCTATTCACCCAAACAATTAAATAAGACTTAACGAGAGTAATTTGTACTTATACATTCAAAATAACTGAGATACCACATTGTTTATGTAATATTTTTGTCTATAGACGGACAAATCTATGGTGGAATTGGAGCTGGAACTAAACCAGCGTAGTGGGGAATGGAACACTCTGCAGGAGTCGGGCAGTGATTTGAGGCCTTTGCACGGGCCCTCGCTCACTGGCCTCAATAACCTAGGCAACACTTGCTACATCAACAGTGTGGCACAGGTAAAATTAATAATAATAATATTTCCCACACTCACACCAATAGGGTATTTGACAAGTTTTAGAAAACGATCTCACGTTATTTATCTCACGTTATTTACTAATGTTTAAGGAGTTCATAAATGGATATTTATATGATATTATGGATATTTTTAATTCTGTCGTGTAATTCAGTACAAAAACAAAATTAAAAATTCAATTTTCTAGTTGCCGTGTAAACGTTTCTCTGGACATTACGGCAATATAACGACATTGACTGAACTTCGGACGCTATGTCATAGTTCTTATAAGCAATACACACAAGAAGTCTATGTAGTATGGGTATAGACAGGTACATATGGCAGTTCGCAACTTTGACAGATAATAAAAATCCTGAAAAGTGACGAAAACGGTAAATGTATCACGTAAACTGATAAGAAAAATATAATTTATAAACAGTCACTATTTATTCATAGCTATGTTCATTCATAGTATTAAAGGAAAATTGTATTGTCTACGGTAGGTTATATTCCGCATGCCGGACTTTGTAAGGCGATTCGTTGAGGGAGCACCAGAGATTTTCTCCAACTTCCCTGAAGATCCAGCCAATGATTTTAATGTGCAAACGTGAGTACCTACCCATTTATATTAAAAAGTATAATACTGTGCCTTTTTTATTTTTTTATATCTGTATTAGCCATTTATTTCCAAAAATGTAGTACACAAAGTTTTAGATATAGCTGAATATAAGGGTTCACGTTTTAGCATTTGTCCATGTAGGAAATTTAATTATAATTTTAAGGCCGAGGCCACACTGTCCTTTTCTTCGTCTTAATTCTTGACTGGGATTGTTTGCCTTGCTAGCATTTGACCTGACGACGACATATGTATGGTGATGAACAACCGCACTCAAAAACGTCAAATTAATTTAATGCTTAATTAAGTCACATAATGGTATCGATTCTAGAGTGATTCACTAAACTTAAAACTAAATTGAACATCAGTCTCTCCTTTTCATTTTTTATAGATAATGGCAAGTATGCACTGTTTTCAAATTTAAGTTTAGCTTTAGAGAATCATGCCAGAATCGACACCATTGTCTCATTCTATTTTTGTCACAAAGATAGTGGTACTTTCTGAGATCAACCTAAGTCAAACTTAATAGTTAATAGACTTCTCTGAGAGCGGCAGTAACCCTTGATCTTTATAGTTCCCTTTTTTGTTTTTGAGTCGCACTAAGGTTTTCGATGACGTAATAAACTAAAAAAAAACAATAAATACATAGCCTGTGCACGCCTTGTTCTGAATCACTTCTATTTCATTTGTGTCAGTATTGTCATTGCAACAAAATCATACAGCCTATAGTAGCGGCACGCTATGATGGCCGTTTTGAAGTTTTTGCGTTCATAAAGTTCCATATTCTAAATTTAAAATAAGTTCTGCAGTTGAAAGAAATAATTATGTTCTTCATTGTCACTAGAGACGTGCATTTATAATATCGTGTCATGAAATATGTATATCGAAACGGTATTTTTTTTACAAAACTGTATAGAATCATCATCTAACAGCTAACTTATAATAAGGTTACGAAAACCTTTTCGAGTTTAAAACAATCAAATATAATATCATTTTGACTCAAAAAGACCAACCATTTGACAGAATCCTTAAAGGATTTAATTAAGTAAATTAATTTAAATAATTGTTTTATACGTAATATCATTAAGAAATGTTATATCATACAAATAATAAAATAATTGTAGTGTACCTATTCGGCACATAACTCGGCATTTGTGTTGTTTGAAATACAAAATGTAAAAACATGAAATTAATAAGATCGTAACATAAGATCGCTAAGCGTGAGTAAAAATTTATATTTTCCTTTTATTCAATCTTTATAATCAGCAACTTATTGCAATATTGAAGAAAAAAAACTTTTTTTTTGTGACTGTATTTGATTATATAGGATTTATTTCGATAATAGGTTGACTTTTCGCGTCACTATTGTAATGTGTCAAAACGGCCATCATATCGTGCCGGGTCTATAATTACAGATACTTTAGTCAAGCCTTCTACACGAGCTTATGAATAAAACCACTCATACAACATTTTAATTTGATTATTGTCTGCAATAACGAACTAGAAATAATATGGAATACGAACTGCGCTATAATCTGCGATCAACACGCCGATCATTGGATTGGTTGGGGTTTCCGTTTAATGTTACCTTATCCAATGAATGGATAGCCGAATTCATTTGCAGATATTTGATTTGTCAAAGTACTTTGTTTTGTCTGTGTTCGTGTCGTGTAGCGTTAGTATTAAGTTTAGTTGTATGAGTTTAGTAAAATGTTTGAGAGTAATGCTTCCATATCACTTCTAATTCGTTGGACTGCGTCTCATAACGTGATTTGGAAATTTTGGGTTAAAAGAGGCAAGATATTAGTTGAGACTGTCATCACCATCATCAAACTATTAATGTCCCCATTGCTGGGGACATTAATAATTTGATGATGCCTTCATTATGGATGGAACAGAGAGATTCGACCGTGACCCACCACGCGGGCCCAGTGTGATTTGGTGGGTGCTAACGACTGTAGATGCAGCCGGGACCAACGGCTTAACGTGCCTTCCGAACCAAGGAGGAGCTCGGGATAATATATTTTTGGTCACCCTTCCAATGACCGACCTTTGCGAAAGTTCCTTAGCTTCCACGATCGCAGCCCGAACTCGCCTACCACCTGCGCCATCGAACTCTGTGACAGGCTGTACAGTTTTGTATTATTATTTGTTTAGGGCGAAACTGGGTGTCGGTCTACTATCCGGTCGTTACTCGTTCCCGGCCGAAGAAGGGGGGCGTCAACCGGGCGTTTCTCCCCAGATGTTCCGCCAGCTAGTTGGTCGAGGGCATCAGGAGTTCAGCACTAAAAGACAACAAGACGCCCACGAGTTCTACTTGCATCTACTCACTCTTATGGAGGTACTGTGATACGTGACGTGGCGTGGAACATTATAGGTTGCCTAAAAGAGATTGCTGTTTAATACACAGTTTTTTAAAGAGTATGAAGCGCCAAATTATTAGATTTTTGAAAATTTTCTTGACGTTTCCGATACTCTTGTCCAGGAGCGGATTTAAAAATGGCGGGGCCCGGGTCTGAAATTGATGCGGGGCCCATTTAAGGATAAAAATCATCTGATTCCCAATTGTTCTAAATTCCCCTTTTATACATAATATGCATTCGAACTTGTACGCATTTCAGAGTGTATAAGGGGATACATGTACAGATCAAACTTCTTTTCGGTATTTTATGCGATGACGGGGGGGCCCCTGCCCGAGGCTCTAGCCCCCCCAAGCCCCTACGTAAATCCGCTCTAGCTCTTGTCTTGTGACAGAGAGCCGGCAAAGAGTCTGAAAAGTCAAGAAAAGTTAAAAAATTACTCTCTAAATCCGGCCCTGGGACTAATGATATAGTTTACATTAACAGCGCAACAGCCGACACAAACCAAACCCGGCAGATTGCCTCAAGTTCTCCGTCGAAGAGCGCATACAATGCACCGAGTCAAACGGGGTGCGGTACACTCAACGGCCCGAACACCATCTCCCATTGCCAGTGGCTGTCCACGCGGCCACCAATGCGGCTGAAGTACGCCAGTACGAAGCTAGAAGAACCCAGGCAGAAGCCAGTGGACAGAGACTGTGGGTATTCTTTCTCTTCAAGATTTTTTTATCATCATTATCAGCCTATTAATGTCCGGGGTGCGATACACTCAACGGCCTGAACACCATCTACCATTGCTGGTGGCTGTCCACGCGGCCACCAATGTCGCTGAAGTGCGCCAGTACGAAGCTAGAAGAAGCCAGCGGACAGAGACTGTGGGTATTCTTTCTATTCAAGATTTATTTATCATCATTATCAGTCTATTAATGTCCGGGGTGCGATACACTCAGCGGTCTGTACACCATCTCCCATTGCCAGTGGCTGTCCACGCGGCCACCAATGCGGCTGAATTGTGCCAGTACGAAGCTAGAAGAATCCAGGCAGAAGCCAGTGGACAGACACTGGGTATTCTTTCTATTCAAGATTTATTTATCATCATTATCAGCCTATTAATGTCCGGGGTGCGATACACTCAGCGGTCTGTACACCATCTCCCATTGCCAGTGGCTGTCCACGTGGCCACCAATGTCGTTGATTTGCGCCAGTACGAAGCTAGAAGAACCCAGGCAGAAGCCAGCGGACAGAGACTGGGTATTCTTTCTATTCAAGATTTATTTATCATCATTATCAGCCTATTAATGTCCGGGGTGCGATACACTCAGCGGTCTGTACACCATCTCCCATTGCCAGTGGCTGTCCACGCGGCCACCAATGCGGCTGAATTGCGCCAGTACGAAGCTAGAAGAATCCAGGCAGAAGCCAGTGGAGAGACATTTTCATGATTCTTTCTGTTCAAGATTTATTTATCATCATCATCAGCCTATTAATGTCCCCACTGCTGTGACACAGGCCTGCCCAATGGATGGAATAGGGAGATTCGGCCGTGACCCTACGCGGGCCCAGTGTGGATTGGCGGGTGCTAACGGCTGCAGATGCAGCCGGGACCAACGGCTTAACGTGCCTTCCGAAGCACGGAGGAACTCGAGATAGAAAATTTTTGGTTTATTAAAGTTACTAACTCTTTTCTCATGAACGCGTAGAGGTATTAAATTGAGTTTGTACGGAACCTTCGGAACGCGACTCCGACTCGCACTTGGCCGGTTTTTTCATTGCGCTGGTACCTGTGCTGGTTTACGCTCTACTTACCAACACAACTTTCAGCGCGACGACACGTAAAACGCACACAAAATGGTCTCGTTAAGGTGTCAACTGTATTTGTTATATCTTAGACGCAAATACCGACGCAGAGTTGTAAAATTTTGGATTCATCGTGAACTAAAAGAGATCCTTAGAAAGAACATACTATTATTTTTTAAAAATTTAAAATGGGCCCAACGAAAATTTTCAGCTATTTTTGCTTACACGATACGAGTCTTTGCTTTACGTCCTCTTCCCCGCCGCGCGTACTCACACATGCACACTGCTTCAATACATATACAACACACATGCAATTGAGAGAGACTGGGAAGCTACTATCCGGCATCAAAGCCAAATCGTCGCCGGCGCCGGTAAGTGAAAAAAGAGCCATACATTTTTGCTTTCGGACAAAGCGCAGAATGGAAAATCGACCATTCGCACAGGAACCTAAAAATTTTCCGGAATAAAAAGTATCCTATGTTTAATCATTGACATGTTTTTGTGCTATAAGTATAAGCGATATCCAAACTGCAATATAAGTCGTTAACTTTCCCAGACGGGCGCTCCAATTCGAATGGAAATCATTAAATATATCGTATGAATTGATCGCAGTGATCCGTCGCTGGTGGTGCGGCCCCACATCCCGTTCCAGGCGTGCCTGGACAGCTTCATGAAGGAGGAGATCATTGAGCAATTCTACAGCAGCGCCGTCAACAAGAAAGTAGCCGCGCGCAAGTGAGTCTATATCTTCCTACTAATCATCAGCCTATTAATGTCCCCACTGCTGGGGCACAGGCCTTCCCTATGGATGAAATAGGGAGGTTGGGCCGAGACACGCTTACGACCGCAGATGCAACCGGGACCAACGGCTTAACGTGCCTTCCGAAGCACGGAGGAGCTCGAGATGGTAATTTTTTGGTCACCCATCCAATGACCAAAAACTACGAAAGTTGCTTTACTTCAACGATCGCAGCCGAACGTGCTAACTATTGCGCCATTGGGCTCCTCTATTTATTCTTATTTTAGAGTTTTGGGGCTATACAGTCCCAGTGGAACCGTAGTCACTGCAACCTAGAAGATCTATTGTGTCTCGCCACCAAGTTAGTCTCTCTCTTTTAGCCCGACTGCTCTCAAGAAGCTCCTGTCATCATAATCGTCAATCATCCTACTAGTCTATCTGATGTATTCCTAATTAGCGGCCGCCCGCGACTTCGTCTGCGGTAACTTTAGTTTTTTGTGAATCCCTAAGGAATCTAACATTTTTGAAGTGAAACTTCTTTAGGCACGCTTGACTTGAGGGGTAAACTGGCGAATGTGTGACGATTTTTGCGTCACTCATCCGGTGACTCATCTGTAAACAATGAGCAATATCCATCATCAGCCTCTTAATGTCCCCACTGCTGGGGCACAGGCCTTCCCTGTGGATGATATAGGGAGATTGGGCCATGACCCACCACGCGGTCCCAGTGCGGATTGGCGGCTGCTAACGACTGCAGATACAAACGGGACCAACGGCTTAACGTGCCTTCTAAAGCACGGAGGAACTCGAGATAGAAATTTTTGGTCACCCATCCAATGACCAACCACTGCGAAACTTGCTTAACTACAACGATCGTAGCCGAATTACAAAACAAATATATGAATAGTTCATGAATTAAAATACTAGTACTTGGTGATTGATAACGGACCCAGCGCAGTTTTTTTTTCTATCAACAAATCTTCAGGTTAAGTTTATGATTTTCAGATCATGGAGTTAAAGAAGTTTCACTTCAGTCGTGTGGGCATTAGCACAGTCGCTTTTTTTTCGGAATAAAAAGTATCCTATATCTCTATCCAGTTCATAAACTATATGCGTACCAAATTTCATCCAAACCCGTTCAGTAGTACAAACATACAAACTGTCACATTTATAATATTAATAGATTAGTTGCTAAGATACTACATTAAAACAGTTGTTCACACATATTTGTTTCATATGTTTACACGCTTACCAATCATTAAATAAAACCACTGTAAAACGAATTATATAGCGCGTTTAATAAACTAGATAAATCTTGTGAATCAGGAAAACTGTAAAGGGCCCGAAACTTAAACAATAACTAAACACGCTATATAAATCTTTAGAAAGTAGTTATATTATAGGGTAATATACGTTATATTGCCAAAAAATATTAACGACCTACCTACAGAACTACAATTATTGGATACTACATGTCATAACATTTGTAAATAAAAAATGAACTTAAAAAACATTTTAACAGTCATTCAGAATAAACTTTAACAATATGTTAAACTGATGAGCATATTAAATTACCTAAGTAAGATTAATATCATAACTATATCCGGTTTCATACTTGGTTCAAGCCACAGATATAGATCGAAATAGTTAACGCAAGTTTTAAGTTTTACGCTTATTTATTTCTTCGCATCATCTTTCTCGATACCGGACGTCAATCGCAATGTTTAAAAAATATCTAACCATCAAAATAAGATCTGCGATCCAAGCAATTGCTTTCATAATACTTTATTACTATGCCAGCAATTGTTGTTGTATAGCGTTTAACAGTTTTGCAGCACAGGTCTTCCCTATGCGCTGGATGACTTAGCAAGAAACGCATTCTTTTGTTAAAGCGATGCTTAATCTAAAAAACCCGAACGCATACAAAAAACACACCTAAACAGACACATCACATTAAGCACAGCAGTCTAAGGGTGTATTGCGAAATATACACCAGTGCATAATTTAACATAAGAAGGAGATAGAAAGACTCTCTTGAGTTTGTTTCGCCGGTTGTTCTCAGAAAGGTCTCCCAATATTGGAACCGGTCGTAGTTTACGGTAGTTAGGGTCAAATAAATAAACTCAATATTACAAAAAAGAATTTTAAATAAAGTACTTTATTAAGTAAATTAAATAATAAATTCATACATAGACAATAAAACTTTAAAAATCGAACAATGAAATAACCGAATTTTTATATTTTTTGGTTCAAATTACTGGGAAAATTGGAATTCTGTAAATGCTTATGAAGATATAAATAGTTTTAGTTTGTTTGCATTAGAAATACCGTTGTCGTAATAAAGTTCACGAGAAATAGTAAAGTGTATCAAACATGACATTAAGAAAAGTTCAGGTATTGGAAGCATCTTTTTTATTAATTTTTTAATCTCAATAGCCTCAATATGCATTAGGGGGACCAAACCATTACACTAGACTTGATAAGCCACAGATCCTTGCAGCTGAGCGGCGGTTCGTTCCTCGAATGATGCACGAGGCTATTTAGATTAAAAAATATCCAAATTTCAATAGGGAAGCTTGGGAACCTATTATACAGGAGATAAAATCCCAACCCCGAGCACACACTACAAGACCATCAGATACTATTAGTTCTTTTTGTTTGCATAATTTAACATAAGAAGGAGATAGAAAGCCTCTCTTGAGTTTGTTTCGCCGGTTGTTCTCAGAAAGGTCTCCCAATATTGGAACCGGTCGTGGTTTACGGTAGTTAGGGTCAAATAAATAAACTCAATATTACACAAAAGAATTTTAAATAAAGTACTTTATTAAGTAAATTAAATAATAAATTCATACATAGACAATAAAACTTTAAAAATCGAACAATGAAATAACCGAATTTTTATATTTTTTGGTTCAAATTACTGGGAAAATTGGAATTCTGTGAATGCTTATGAAGATATAAATAGTTTTAGTTTGTTTGCATTAGAAATACCGTTGTCGTAATAAAGTTCACGAGAAATAGTAAAGTGTATCAAACATGACATTAAGAAAAGTTCAGGTATTGGAAGTATCTTTTTTATTAATTTTTTAATCTCAATAGCCTCAATATGCATTAGGGGGACCAAACCATTACACTAGATTTGATAAGCCACAGATCCTTGCAGCTGAGCGGCGGTTCGTTCCTCGAATGATGCACGAGGCTATTTAGATTAAAAAATATCCAAATTTCAATAGGGAAGCTTGGGAACCTATTATACAGGAGATAAAATCCCAACCCCGAGCACACACTACAAGACCATCAGATACTATTAGTTCTTTTTGTTTGCATAATTTAACATAAGAAGGAGATAGAAAGCCTCTCTTGAGTTTGTTTCGCCGGTTGTTCTCAGAAAGGTCTCCCAATATTGGAACCGGTCGTGGTTTACGGTAGTTAGGGTCAAATAAATAAACTCAATATTACACAAAAGAATTTTAAATAAAGTGCTTTATTAAGTAAATTAAGTAATAAATTCATACATAGACAATAAAACTTTAAAAATCGAACAATGAAATAACTGAACGCTCAATAAGTCTTTCGAAGGTAGCTCGACAAAATTAAATAAAAAATAATTCTGACGAAGCAGCCTGAAAAGGCTGCGAAACGTCAATAAATAAATAAAGTTTCGTGCATTAACCCGTTAAAACTACTTTTATTTAATGAGTGATGTGCGTGAAAACCTAAGAAAAAAATATATACACCAGTACGCTGGCGAGCGGTAACGACGTCATGATTTCGACGCCATAATGACAACACCAGTGCAATATGGCGTCGAAGTCATGACGTCATTACCGCTGACCAGCGTACTGGTTTATAATTCGGAATACACCCTAAATAGTTCTGCTTAGTCATTCATCGAACAGCATTTAATCCATTTTCGTGAAAAAACCATAACCAAACGAATTCCTGATTTTTTATGTCTGACTTGCCTTGACTAGTCTGCCCAAAACTCCAAAGGAAAATGCATTTCTGAAAAGCTATGTAGGCTATAAGCGTTGTTAAGCAGAAAACGACCAGCAGACATTTTCGAAGCAAGTGAAAATTTGTTCTACGAACCCATGCTAAAGTTCGATTTTGTTTGATCCCAAAAATTATCAATGATTGCTTTCTGCTCTCACAATCATACTTTAAAAGGACAATGGGCAAAACGCACCCAGCTCCACCAACAATGTAATTAGTATGAATCGATAGATCTATGAAAAACTAGTCTTTTTTATTGTGACACCGTAAAAAAATATCCGGGGAGTCAAAACATATGACACTGTAAAAAATATCCTGGTAGTCAAAAAATATTGCACCGAAAAAAATACCCTGATAGTCAGAAGATATGACACATGGGCATATTTAAGTAGCTCAATAAATTATTTTTATAGTACCTTTATTTTATATTATTAGTAACCATAATAATATGCCTTATCGTACTATACAACCAGATATACGAAAAGCCTGCCGACCATCGTGCGCTTGCACTTACTGAGCCACCTCAAAAAGGTTTACGAGGGTTGACGGACTTGCAGTTGCAAATAGTCGACTATGCAGCGTCCATACATTTTTGCCCAATGTCCTTTGTCCAAAGAAGTCATTTTGGCTAGCTTCAAGAATGCCCGCTGGTCGTTTTTCGCTTAACACCGATCCGTGTTGATATAAACTTATTCTTGTTTGTAATTTTATCTGACAGAATTACCCGCCTGGCTACGTTCCCCGACTATCTTCTTATTCAACTCAAGAAGTTCACAATAAAGGAGGACTGGACGCCCGCCAAATTGGACGTCGCCGTCGATATGCCTTGGGAGGTCAGTTTTTATACCAAATTGAACCTATTTGCAATGCAATTTGTAAAATTTGTTTCTAAGGTATAAGTTTTTGAAAATCATAATTCTTCAAAAGTTTTGATAGTGTTCAATCTCTCATCATTTCTGGGCCCTTGGCACGAACCATTATCGAATTCGAATAGTTTGCGAGTGCGAGATGTGACTGTCAAATTTTGTATGGAAACTTGAACAGCAGCAGCGCCATAACGGACGTGACGAGAACTAAAAATCAGTACACATTTAACAATTACATTTCGCACTCGCAAACCATACGATTTCGATATTGGTTCGTACAAGGGTACTGACTGTTAGAATAATACGAAAATCTCGAATAACAGTAAGGATCATAAAACAATAAGATATTTTCTGAATAATGAAATTTTTTGCTCTATGACGTTGCGACTTTTTTTGCTCTATGACATTTGCCTAGAGTGGAACACTTTATTTCCTTTAAATTGTGGACTTGGTTACACCTAAAATATAAAAAAGATATTTGTTTCTTAGGTTTTCACGCACATCACTTATTAAATAAAACTAGTTTTTACGGGTTAATGCACGAAACTTTATTTATTTATTGACGTTTCGTAGTCTTTACAGGCTTCGTCGTCAGAATAAAACTTTTATTTAATTTTTCGAGCTACCTTCGAAAGACTTTTATTGAGCGTTCGGTTGTTTCATTGTTCGATTTTTAAGTTTTATTGTCTATGTATGAATTTATTATTTAATTTACTTAATAAATTATTTTGTTTAAAATTCTTTTGTGTAATTTTGAGTTTATTTATTTTACCCTAACTACCGTAAACTACCACCGGTTCCAAAATTGGGAGACCTTTCTGAGAAGAACCGGCGAAACAAACTCAAGAGAGGCTTTCTATCTCCTTCTTATGTTAAATTATGCAAACAAAAAGAACTAATAGTATCTGATGGTCTTGTAGTGTGTGCTCGGGGTTGGGATTTTATCTCCTGTATAATAGGTTCCCAAGCTTCCCTATTGAAATTTGGATATTTTTTAATCTAAATAGCCTCGTGCATCATTCGAGGAACGAACCGCCGCTCAGCTGCAAGGATCTGTGGCTTATCAAATCTAGTGTAATGGTTTGGTCCCCCTAATGCATATTGAGGCTATTGAGATTAAAAAATTAATAAAAAAGATACTTCCAATACCTGAACTTTTCTTAATGTCATGTTTGATACACTTTACTATTTCTCGTGAACTTTATTACGACAACGGTATTTCTAATGCAAACAAACTAAAACTATTTATATCTTCATAAGCATTCACAGAATTCCAATTTTCCCAGTAATTTGAACCAAAAAATATAAAAAAACCGAGTGTGCTTATGACCACACGACTAAAGTGAAACTTCTTTAGCTCCAATGATCTGAAAATCATTAACGAAACGTGAAGATTTGTTGATAGAAAAAAAGAGACCAATCCGCGCTGGGTCCGTTATCACCCACCAATCCGCTCTGGGTCCGTTATCATCCACCAATCCGCACTGAGTCCGTTATCACCCACCAATCCGCGCCGGGTTCTTTATCACCCACCAATCCGCACTGGGTCCATTGTCACCCAATAATCAAAAATCAAAAGTCACCCAAAAATCCGCGCTGGGTCCGTTATCACCCACCAATCCACAATGGGTCCGTTATCATCCACCAATCCACAATGGGTCCGTTATCATTCACACATCCGCGCTGGGTCCGTTATCACCCACCAATCCCTCCAACCAACCAAGGCAAACTCCGTGGCCGAGTGGTTTGTACGCCGGGTTTCATGGCCGTCGCCGACTCGAGAGGTCTCGGGTTCGAATCCCGGTGGGGGCAGATGTTTGTGTGATGAATACGAGCATTTGTACTCCAGTCATGGATGTTTAATATGTATTTATATAAATATACTTATATATGTACAGTATATGTATTCTATCCGTTACCCTAGCATCCCATTACAAAAGCCTTATAGTGGTTACTTTGGGGCTAGGCTAATTGGTGTGAGTGTCGGAAATATTTATTATTTTATTTATAATCCGCACAGGGTCCGTTATCACCCACCAATCCGCGCTGGGTCCGTTATCACCCACCAATCCGCGGTGGGTCCGTTATCATCCACCAATCCGCACTGGGTACGTTATCACCCACCAATCCGCGCTGGATCCGTTATCACCCACCAATCCGCGGTGGGTCCGTTATCATCCACCAATCCGCACTGGATACGTTATCACCCACCAATCCGCGCTGGATCCGTTATCACCCACTAAACACTAGAGTCATGTATTTTGTGACGGGTATTGCTCATTGTTTACCGTTGATTCACCGTTACGCGCGTAACGTAAAAATTGTCACACATTCGCCAGTTTACCCCCCAAGTCAAGAGTGCCTAAAGAAGTTTCACTTCCATAATCTACGGAGCTGGATGCGTAAGTGGTTAGCGCGTACGGTTGCGATCAACGATATTAAATACCCTAGATACACCAACACGAACAAAATCGTGCCCGAAACCTGTCCAAAAGGTATATGGATGATCAACGGAGCTCAGTAAAATGATCGCGTAGTCAAAAGCAAAATATAAGACATTATTTAAAGTCACCTTTAACGCATACTGTATAAGGTCTTAATTAAAATGCATGCGTCAAAAAGTTATGACAATTCGGAATGCAAGCTCATAAAATTTTAAGACTTATTGCTATATGCGGAAGAATAAAGACCTTATTTCTTTGACTCTACGCGCAATTCTGAATGCGCTTATAGCAATATAGCAGATACGGACCGTGAGGAAAAGAGACGGCTATGTTACCGACCATGCATTTGAATATCATAAATATTTTCTATTAAATCAGTTTATAGTAGGCATTAGAACAAAATTTGCTTTAAATGCGTTAAATTAACAAAGATTGATTAGATACCTGTAGAAAAAACGTCATATTACATACTATAAGTTTTATTTTTATTTTTTCACGGAGCTCCTCGGCAACTTGACTTATCAACGGTCCGCGCGTGACTGTGAACCAAGAAGTGTTTGAGTGGTGTTCAAGCACTTCTTGATTGGGACACATTTTGAGCGACGTGGTGTATCTAGGGTAATAATCGTAAATATCGTTACTCCCTGCTGCATCTGCAGTCAATAGCACCCACCAATCCGTACTGGGCAGCATGGTGGGTCATGGCCCAATCTCCCTATTCCAACCAATAGGGAAGGGCTGTGCCTGGGGCACAGGCAATGGGGGCATTAATAGGCTAATGATGGACATTCTCAAAACACAGGTAGATCTAAATTGTCTCCGCGGGCGTGGTCAGCAGCCAGAAGAAACGCCGTTGGCAGATGCGGCGCCCGATACTCCCGCCCCCACTTACAATGAAAACCTACTCTCAGAACTGGTAAGTATTTGCTTGAGTATATACTCAAGCTCACGTAATATTACTAGCGATCCTCTCCGGCCTTGCACGGAATTAATTTTATTTAAAAGGCTTAAAATTTAGCCTTATTTCACTCGAAAATAATACAGCTTCCTAATGGTAAAAGAATTTAGATTAGAGTTTATTTGTGACAATACATACAAAACTTCGGAAATATTTAGTACGTGTATATTATAAGTTTATAAACAGGAGTTATAATATTAGTTTAGATAACATATTTCTAAAGTGTTTTCCTCATTTTGATTAATGGATGTTCGAATATAGGAACGTATAGTTGAAAATGTTCTAAATAACTTTCATGTGATGGTAATAACAAAATTCGCCCAAAATTGGTTATAATATTGTATCTCCATCCTATAAAATAACGCCTTATCTTGCATTTATAATACACAGAACGCCTGTCTGAAATTTAGGTCTGTACACGAGTGTTTTCTCTACTTATTTTTACCCGGCTGCGCAATGCAAGAGCGCGAAGCGCGACGCGCAGACAGGGTTATGTGTTTAACAGTCTATATATGTATGTTTGTTCCTTTGTGGCACACTAGAGACCAAACGCCTGGACCGATTTTGATGATTCATACATCAATCGATTCGTCTCAATCATGGGAGTGCTACTAAAGATATGATAGTAATCGAAATTCAATATGGGCAAAATTAGGCGCCATATTGTGACGAAGTAAAAAAAATAAGTTGACAAAATATGTCGAATGGGGTATCACTGTCTAGATAATCGAAAATCATATTTAGGTTCCTAACACCATTTTTTACTTTATGTGATTGTTTAGGATCTACAACGCTTTAAAGTTGTATATTAACCACTTACGCTTTTAATTTCAATCTTACGTTTGTATGGATGTTACTCTTTCACCTAAAAAATACTGAATGGATTTTAATGAAACTTAACAGTGATATAGCTCATATATGATAATTACATATATATAATAATTTATGTAGTTATTGAGTGAATTGGCCAATATATAACAATAAGTGTCACATGAGACGGAAAAAAATCTCCCATCTGCGAGCCATTTTGGCCTGCACTGCAAAAACAATAAAAGTTACATGAATGTAATGTAGAATGAAAATGTATCTCTTAAATAGTTCTAAAAAAAAGTCCGTGACACCATATATCTATTTTTAATGTGTAAGTCATTACCGCTAAAATAGTGAATTAAAACTAAAATATTATTTGATATCTATTTCCAAAATGCACATTTTGTATTAACAAATCATTTTTTATCAAAACAAATACTTTTATCGCTTTTGATATTTAAAGACGATAAACTTTGCTTTTTACACTATGTCATTTCGACAAACATTTAAAAAGTTACAACGATGACAAAGTGATAGCGCGGTGTACTATGTAAAAGAAAAAAAATGAGGTATTCGCAGTATCTAATCCTATACGAAGTACTTACAATAAAACTGTGAGACAGTTCCTTCTTATTAAATGATGAAAAATATATGATCATAATAGGTATTTATGATTATTGAATTTTAATGAAAAACTCAGAATTTTACTGTTTTTCATTTTTTTTAACGATATTACTTAATGTTACAAAAAAGGTTTATTTAATATAATGACAAATAACCCATTTTTCGCTTGTCATCAGCTCACGATAATATTGGTTTTGTAATAATTCTGCAAAATTCAAAATAAATAATGTAGATTTTTATAGGTAAATCACCCCTTTCATCACCCTACGCCTATAAGTATTGCGATGTTGTAGCTAAGAACCAAGTTCCCATCTACTTCTTTAAGGGAATTCATTATATTCGATTTAGCTATTAGGGCACGGAAGCGCAACAAACAAACTCACTTTCGCATCTATAATATTATATTATACTTACTAGTGATCCACCCGGGCATTGTGCGGGCGAAATTTATTTATCGGGATAAAATATAGCTTATGTCACTCGGACAAAATGTATTTAAATAAAGAAAAATGTTATAATAAATAATGTTTGTTCAGTAGTTTGACAAATTCTTTGTTACAAACATACAAATCATGCCTCTTTATAATATTAGTATAGATAGTTAGGATAAGATAAGTATTTAATTGCTGAAAAAGATTTAAAAAAAAAAGGTAAATTAAAAAAATCAAAAAACCCGACTGCTTAATTATTCTTCAAATAAAAACTGAAAAGAAAAAAACAAGTCCAGTAGTCTATAATTCTGTTAATAAGGAACAAAGCTACTTTAACAGTCGGGACCCATTAGATATTCAAGAATACATAATATTTTTCAACAGTGGGTCCCGACTGTTAAAGTAGCTTTGTTCCTTATTAACAGAATTATAGACTACTGGACTTGTTTTTTTCTTTTCAGTTTTTATTTGAAGAATAATTAAGCAGCCGGGTTTTTTGTTTTTTTAACTTTACCTTTTTTTTCAATATATTGTGTCTTTCATTGTCACTTATATTAGAGTAATTAACGGGATTATTACCATGTAAATGTACTTTGTTTTAAACATGCTAATGTCCATTAACTTTCAGTGCATCCGGCTCGAAGGACCATGTTAATATTACAATATTTACGTACAAGTAAAAATAGTATCCAAACCAATATATTTGTACAGTTGGAGATGGGTTTCCCCGTGGAAACGTATAAAAAGACGTTGTACTACACAAAATAACTTAACAGACACTCTAAACCGCAAAAATCTACTGATTTCTGTGGAATCCCTTTAATTTGGAAAGATTGTATGTAAATACGAAATCCAACTGACTAATATCTGTGTACAGTAGTAGGTAGGTATTGGGAATTCTAATTCACTTTTATCTCTATATCACAAAACCAAAAAAGTGAATTAAAATCCCCCAATCACAAGCGATTGGAGGCTTCTAATTCACCTTTTTTGGTTTCGCGATATAGAGATAAAAGTTAATTAAAATCCCCAATAACCAACCAGGTACCGTGGCATTCTTAGTTACCCCACGAGTGAGGTCGCGACTAAACAACGTCTTAAATATGAATAATATCTAAAATAGGAATATAAATAGGTGCAATTAGATTTTAATATACTTAATCAGTTGCTATATGACTATTTATTAAAACAATCACTCGGAATAACGGGGACGATAATTTGATTCAAACAATCCGTAAAAAATCATCAGTGTCTCTACAAAATTATAAAAACGCATTTTATAGCGAATTTAATAAACATCGTCAGCTTACCAGTATCGCCTGCTGTCCCGCTGGCCGCCGATCTCGAGGTCAAGTGCCGCGCGTGCAATATGATGCGACATTCATGTCATGCCTAAAGCGAGCATTTTGAAACGCTAATTATAATAAAGCCAGAGAATTCATAAAAAATACTTTTATGAAACTTCTATTCCTGGTGGGATTTTATAATATCAATATATAAGTCGTACTTTAAAACGAATGCAAATTATGACTATATTCTAAATTTAACTTTTAATTTAATGGCTTGTCATCACTTTAAAAATAGTTTATGTTTATATAGAGCTTCGATTTTCGTATGATTTAATTATAATACAGAACGCTGAGTTCAAATAATAAATCGAAATTATAACGAATATGGATTTTTTTCGTTGTAATTGATTTCTTAATTATTTCTTTAATATCATGGCCGTCAATTTGAGTAAAGGAATCCAATAATCATCTATATATAATTTTATTATTAAAGGGTTTGCTTCCATACAAGAAGGTATTGTCAATGTAATTGAAAAATAACTCATGTTAATAACATACGTAAAACGTGTCTCAAAAATCTGGCGGGATTCGAACCTGCATCTTAACGAATATTATTTCAAATTTAGTAGTTTACATGTTTATATATAATATAATGTAACTTACCAGAAAATATCTTTAGTACATCATTATTAGCACATCATTTTTATCACATCACTAAAACAATTATTATTCAAGGGTTCTTATCTGATAATGTCTTCATGGGCCACTTTGACTCATGCCCTTATACAATGAAAGCGTTATGATAAAGATATTAAACCATGTGAATGAACAGGTTGCCTCAGGGAGTACCCAGAATTTTTATAAAGTTTAAATCAGGTTGGCTCGTGGTCTCCTTGAATATTTGTCAACTTGTCTTGGAGGAACCACATAGAAGACAATAATTTAGGAATCACGATGTCTAGGCCAGATTGGATCATGGTCTCCTTGAATATAATTCAAAGCCGATTGCCTCGGAGTTACCATCTAGACAGCGCGAGTAACATTTTCTGGACCAGATTGGCTCGTACTCCCCCATCCAACAGAGTTAAGATATTTTATCAATAGCCGCCCACGGTTAGGTTACAACCATGAAGACAATAGCAAACACGGGAACGCCATGAGTAAAAATTGATATTTAAATCACTTTAGCAAATATGTCAACGAGTGCCCGGGACTGGCGCGCAAGGAGAATGAATTAATTATAAGAATATTTCTTTGTCCCTAAAAATGCTGATGCTGCAGCGTTGGTAACTGTATGCACACACGCAAAGGTGAGCTAATGTGTGCCTACAAAGTAAAACACATGTTGCAGTTGTTACTCGAATGATGCAATAAATAATGAACGTTGAACGAGCGATAATATGCAAGTATGCAAATAAAATGTAGTGGTATGGTCATAGTGTACAGACTGTAGCGTTTTATGAAATAGCAATTTGTTACAATCTATTTATTAAAGTTACGAAAATGAATCGCTTTTTATTCAGAATTTGAATAACATAAATCAATTAGTAGGTATATCCATTAAATTTCTTATGTTTACTTAAAAATATTAATGAAAATTGGTGAATATTTGATATATATATTATTACTTTAAATTTTTAATTATTTATGTCGTCACTCACACTTAAGTGAGAGCCGTTCCTAAAATATACTTAAATGTGCTGCATCTACCTCTCAGCTTTGCAGTGCAAACTCAATTCTGCTACACTAGAGAATACTCCAATTCGAGCGAAAAAGCCGCTACACGCTATTCTCTTGATACGTG